TGTCATCGTCTATCGAGTGGGTAGAAAACTCCTGTGAAAAGTGCTACTAATCATTCTCTCTGTTCATCTTCTACCGGGTTCATTAAAGGGCTAAATAAAAACTTTATTAATCACATCACTATTACAATATTTCTCATAGTTTCACAAACATCTCTGACTACGACAACTGCATCATCAATCAACTTGTCAAACATCTCTTAAAATTGATCTATAAAAACAAACCATTAAGGTGAGAACAACACTAACTCTTGTATTGCTTCACTTGTCTGCCTCTATCATCATCAATGCAAACTAAACGAAAACATTTCATATCCAAAAACAATAAAACATCTCCAGCATCACTTTTTCAAATTATGAAAAAACCATGATAGCGATTCTAGCCAAAGAAAAAGCTTTCAAACGTATCTACCTCTGAAGCCACACATAGTTGACATTGTTTCTTTTTATTTTTTACTAATCTTCTCATTCAGACACAAAACTAGATGCTTGTCCTCATATATTCATCATACATTCTATGAACTCAGTGGACTTTTTTCGACGTAATTGAGGTTTAGTCAGCAACTTTGAAATATACATGGTATTATGGTAGCTATCTCACATTTCACCTTCACTCTCACCCATGATAATCATAAGACAGTCGATGAAAATCTGATTTTTTTTGTTGGCTGTTAGATGCATTACTAATATGTGATTCTTTAACGTAAGAAAGCTACTCAATATCACTTCTTTTTTTTCTCTTCATATATTAGCTGCAGGCAATCTTTGTGACGAGTACGTCGAGAAAAAATCGTTTGTCGGTCCATTTGCTTACCTTTTTTTTTATAAAAGTGAAAGAGAGTATTTCTATGCATCAGTAATCACAGCAATGAAGAACAGATAAAAATGTGCGCCGGTCGCAATTTGAATTAGTTATCGTACGTGTGCTTACGTTCAAGACGAGTGTATTTGTCGTTTTTTTCTCAACTACGGTAGTGTGTGCATATTATTTGAAGGTAAATACCACTGTATTCATTTTGTCCGTTTTGCGCTATTAAGATAATTTCTTTTCAAGCCAAAATTTTAATGAGAGAAGGTCACCAAGTGCAATCCGTCATCTTATAGTCGAGTTGTACTGATTTGTGGATCTCAGAAAATTGATTCCAATGGTATATAGCATTCTTTCCTATGAGATTTTAAATTAGATAAAATCAATCAATTTCACTTGTCAAGACTGTGGTAGATGCTGTTTGATCATTGACCATCTTACTTCTGATTCTAGATTTTCATTTTCTAGCTTAGAGACTAGCTAATAACGTTTTGAGGATAAGGTCCCCTTTTTATACACCGCAGGAGTCTGCAGCAACAGCATTATTGTTTTCCTTACGTCAATCAAATTCGATGTGACCAAAAAGCCCCACTTGAAACTAACTGTCTGTACCTATGCAGAAATCATTTTTCTGGAAATTAATGGAACACATCGTCTCATTTTATACATTTACTGCTATCAGGTCCTCATTCACAAGTGAAAATATTCGACCTCTAGGATATTGCGTTCTGAGATAATTCAAGAAGAATATAAATATACCATATTTGAGCGACTATAATAGTAATTACTTTATTTTTTTGACTTTTTAGATCTTTCATTTTCCAGTGGTTGTTTGAACTTCTTTGCTACTCAAGATGAACTCAGGTAAAATTGTAATTCAGAAATGGATTAGAAAAAATACAAGATGCTCATGCCAATTTAGTGTCTGTTAATACATGCCAACTGCCTTTCTTTTTCTCATCTTTCAGAGCTATATCTATGCCGGCAAACGACAATGTGAAGAACCTATAAGGAGTAGTTCTATTTAACGCAGACACCACATCTCGGTCAGTTATGGCCATAAACACCCACTTTTTATCTGTCATAGAAGACAGCAACAGGAAATACTAAAAAATATCTCTCAACCTACCATAGATATACTTGAATTACCCTTAAAAACATCTACAGAATCATGTAATCTGCGAATTGATACATGCTTGAATTAAGTTTTTACAGATATTTAAAAATACTTCAAAACAGTGAAAAAGTGAAAGTAAAACAAAGATTTTAAATAAGTATGCATGCACTTCATCCGATGATAAACAATTCGAAAAACGTTTCCATAAATTTAATAATTTAATGAGCGTCATCAGATTTTTAAACATTAAAATATTATAACACGCATGTTTCCTTCTCCACGATTCTTGTTTTATCTTCATTTTTTACTACTATCTTCAAATATTTTCGAAATAAAAATTTCTGAAAACGTAATTTAAGTGTGTATCAACCAGTGGATTACATGTTTCTGTACATATTTTTGAAGGAAAATTGAAGACGATCGGCTTTCTATTACTAATTTTTTCAGTGTTAATAGTTATGTAGTAACACATCTGAGTGAGTCTTAGCTGTTCAAGCAAAAAGTTCAACAGGAAAGACTATTCAGGAATCGTACATATTCACATAAAAGTGTAGTTTATTCAGAGTTTGCTGACGGCTTTCTTATACAGTTCTTGGTTAAGCAGATTTTTGCCTATTGTGACGCACTAAATCAGAGGTCTTTTATCTAAACTTTGATTAATATGACTTTTAGATGCTAAAAAATACCAGCTCGTCAGGAATTTTAAATATTTGGAGTTCAACTAATAAGATTTTTTGCACCAAAAATGTAAACCAAACAGGTTTTATATATTCCCTGGTGAAAATGAATAGTATATCTTGCTTTTGATACTTATCTATCTGGAACTTGCAGTTTATAGTTCATATTTATATCATAAGTACTATGTGGCAGCTCATTATACATTATATTTTAGGTTCTGTTATGTTTGTACAAGGGAAACGTTTTTCATGTTTATCATCTTTGTTTTATTCAATAGATTCGTGTACAAAAAACAGTCAAAGATATCGTTCTTGTCACATCTTGAGTATGGGTGGGAAGTTACTGTTCCCAGACCGTTACCCGGGAACGGTAACGGTAACTTCCCACCCCTAATCTTGAGCTAACAATGATATCACCGAATAATAGAATGAAAATACAAAAGAAAAATATGAAAAGACTCTCCTTTCTATGCATATAATAGTACCTAGAATATGTTTCCTTCTTCTCTAAAAAAAGTTGGATAATGAAATGTCAAAGTTTAAGTACAATCCATCTCGTTGTATTTTTGCCTAAACGACATATATCTCAGATATTTTCACTGGAAACTGTTCCTAAATTTTTTTCCGGAGACTTGCCAGTACGCTTTCACTACAACTAGATCATCATAATTAGTTTTTTTCGCTCTTTCTAATGATATACTCTTTATTAGTTTTGAATGAAATAAAAAATTTGGAACCAGCTAATACGATGGACAGTTCTTGTTACGGTCGTCAGTGTGCCAGGTGCGGCAAATGTCGTGATTGGTATTTTACAGGCAATCCGGCAAATTTGACATGGCTCCAAAATTGGAAGAATTGGTCCAAGAGTGATTGGGAACGTTATCGTGATAATAGATTTGCGCAAAGTTTCAGACAGCGTGACAATGCAAGATGTCGTTTTACTATTGCTATTATGGATGGGAATGACGTTCTTGCTTCTGTTCATCTTCATTTTCTTGGTGCTGATTATGGTTTTCATATTCATGCTGATCTTTGTCTGTGTAACGATAATATTCGTCCTTAATTTTATATTAAGGCAATATTCGTTAAAAATATGCTAACATTTTTAAAAGAAATTATAGTTAAAATAAATTGACGTTGCAACATCTTTTTTTAAACAAGAAAATATTCATTCTGTACTCTTTCTCTCAGTATGTCACATGTTTTGTTAATGTTTTCAAGTTAATGCACATTGAGTGTAGTCAATTTTAGACTTGTTAAGTGAATTCTTGCATCTAACGGGTGTCCCAGGAAAAAAGAACCTCTCAGTATTTTTAAGATTT